GTAATGGGAAGAGCTGTTAAAGTGAGGCTGAGGGATGAGAAGAAGATTTTTAAATGTTTCCGCTGTGGAAACACAAATCACAGAGAAGAGCAATGTTTCTTTAAAGATAAAAGATGTTTTAAATGCCAGAAGTTAGGGCATATGTCTAGGGTCTGTAAGAACGGGAACTGGAGGAGCGATCGTAATAATTGCTCGATAGGTGAGGAGGCGGAGGCAACTAATGGCCTTTTTAATGTAAATCAAGTGAAGGACACAAGTAACATGCGGAATTATATGGTAAGGGTACAGACTAGCGGTCGAGATATTAATATGCTCATTGACTCAGGAACAGTAAAAAATATTATTTCTGAGAAGACGTATATAGAAACTTGGGTGAAGTCAGAAAGGCCTAGAATAGAGAAGGATGCTACCAAGTTGGTGCAATGGAACAGACAGAGGTTATCCATTCTGGGTAAAATAAGGGCAGACGTAAAAGTGAACAAAAGAAATATCACAATGGAATTGCTTGTGGTCGAAGGTCCGGGCCCAAATTTGATTGGAAGGGAGGCGTTTGACCAGATTGGAATTGGTCTTGAATGGATAAATTATGGCGACAGTATATGTCAAATCACTGAGGAATTTATGGATGTGTTTAAGGAGAAATTAGGACAATACAGAGGTCCACCAATCCATATAAAGATCAAAACTCTAGGGAAGCCCACATTTCTAAGGGCTAGAACATTGCCATACGCAATTAGACCTAAGGTTGAAGAGGCTTTGAGGAAGATGGAGGAACAAGGAATATTGACTCCTGTTGAATTTACAAGGTTTGCTACCCCAATTGTCCCAGTACTGAAAAGGGATGGTTCAATAAGAATATGTGGAGATTATCGGAGTACTGTTAACACCATCGTGGAGTCAGATACTTTCCCAGTTCCGGCGGCAGCTGACTTGCAAGTCAATTTGGCAGGGGGAAAGGTATTCTCAAAGTTGGACCTTAAAGATGCATATCAGCAGCTGGTGGTGGATGAGGAGACAGCAGAGCTATTGGCTATTAACACGCACAAAGGTTTGTTTAAGGTAAACCGTTTGCCCTTTGGTGTTTCCTGTGCGCCAGAAATATTCCAGCGACGAATGGAAAGTTTAATAGCCAAAATTCCAGGAGTAGTCGTTTACCTGGATGACATTCTGGTAACAGGGAAAGATGAAATGGAACATGACCTCCGATTGAGAGAAGTATTGAAGAGTATTCAAAGAATGGGATTGAATCTTAAGAAGGAGAAGTGCGAATTTAAAAAATCTTCGTTAATTTTTCTTGGGTGCCGAATAGATGCGGAAGGCATACACCCTACTGAAGAGAAATGTGAGGCAATTAAGAATTTTCCGAAACCCGAAAACAAAAAATAGTTACAGAGTTTCCTTGGACTATTGAATTTTTATAGCAAATTTTTAAAAGACCGAACCACTGTACTTGAACCACTGCATAGACTACTAAACAAAAGAAATTGTTGGAAATGGAAAGAAGTGGAGGATAGAGCATTCAGGGAGGCAAAGAATTTGATTCAATCCGATTTAGTGCTAACACCCTATGATGCCAGAAAACCCCTGGTCTTGGCTTTTGATGCATCACCCTTTGGAGTAGGAGCAGTGCTTTCGCACGTGGAGGAAGGAATGGAGAGACCCATTGCGTTTGCTTCGAGAACTATGTCTCAGACGGAAAGAAGGTATGCACAAATAGATAAGGAAGCCCTGGCCATAATATTTGGCATCTCAAAATTCTACAAATATTTGTATGGCCGTGACTTTAAGATAATCACTGACCATAAGCCTCTACTGGGAATCTTTAATCCGAATAAACCTCTCCCTCAAATACTTTCCCCGAGGATGAAGAGGTGGAGTCTTACATTGGCATCGTACTCCTATCAGATTGAACATAGACCTGGGAGAATGAACGCAAATGCGGATGTGTTGAGTAGAGCACCCCACGAAAAAACAAGTAAAGAAACACCGGAACCAGTTGACGTTTTTCTTATGGAAACTAATGAAGAGTCACCATTAGAGGCGAAGGAAGTGGCAAAATTAACGCAGGAAGACTCAGTTCTGGCGATAATTGTGGAATGGACTCGAATAGGATGGCCAACTCACTGTCCAGCAGAAAAATTAGGCCATACTTCAATAGGAGAAATGAATTATCCCTACATAGAGAGTGTCTCCTGTGGGGAAATAGAGTAGTAATACCACCCGTTCTACAGAGGAGAACAATAGAACAGCTTCATGAAACTCACCCTGGAATTGTACAAATGAAGGCAATTGCAAGGAGCCATGTGTGGTGGCCAGGAATGGATAAGGCTATAGAGAATAGGGTCAAAAGATGCGAAATTTGTCAACTGGTGCGAAATAATCCTAAACCGAGCCCAGTTCACCCTTGGACGGCACCAGTTAAACCGTGGTCACGTATTCATATAGACTATGCGGGTCCATTCCATGGAAGAACGTTTCTAATAGTCGTTGATTCAATGTCTAAGTGGCCGGAGGCCATCATCATGGATCACTGCACGGCAACAGCTACAGTGCGAGTATTAAGAAATCTGTTCGCTGTTCATGGTTTGCCCGACCAGGTTGTTTCGGATAATGGTCGCATGTTTGTGGGTCATGAGTTCCAGGAATTTTTGATGATGAACGGAATAAGGCATATAACATCGGCTCCCTACCACCCACAGACAAACGGACAGGCAGAAAGAGTGGTACAAACACTCAAACAGCTAATAAGAAAGAATGGATGGGAGAACATATCGGTTACGCTGCCACGCGCTCTGTTTGCAATGCGGACTACACCTCATGGAACAACTGGACTAACACCAGCTGAGCTACTAATGGGTCGTAGACTGACCACAAGAATGAACCGGTTGCACCCTAAAGAAAGTGAAGATAGCGAAAACGGAAAAGAACACTTCCAAAATAGGTTCAAGTCCCAAGAGAATGTTTATGCACGTAAATATAATGGAAAGGGAAAGTGGGAACCGGGGAAGATAAAGACAGTACTTGGACCCAGGAACTATGAGGTAATTATGGAAAACAGAGTGACAGCAAAAAGACACCAGGACCAATTGATGAGAAGAGTCAGGGAAGAAGTATCGGAGGATGTGGAGAAGAAGGAGGAGTGTAACACCGAAAGAAGGGGGGAACGAATGAATGACCCAAATGATTCACAGGAGAGGCTGGAGGAAACACCTGGGCCAAGTAGACCAATAAGAAACCGGAGACTCCCCGAATACTTAAAAGATTGTGTAACAAATTGGGGGTGAGAAGATGTGGTATTTTGGATAACAATAGTTATGTTTAGATAAATTATGTGATATGCAAAAAAGGTTTTGCATAGTGGTTATAAATATGTTTGTTTTACTATGTTAATTATTTTTGTATATATATATTCTTAATTTGTAAATAGTTAGTTCAGTGATATTAGTGTTGGTGAGGAATAAAGTTTTATCACTTAATGGATCTCGGTGGCCTGGAGTAATTGTAGAACATAGAGACACAACAATTTCTATAAATGAGTCAGAATATTCATCTATGATGATAGCTTGTCTTTAAAAAATATATTATTATCTGAATCAATAAACCCACGAGGGGGGTCGGTGGAAGGCTGGTTAAACCGTTTGGTTTTCGACCACTACGACCCGGGTTCGATTCCCGCATTGGACACTTTTTTCTGTTAAAAAAAAAATGCTCCAATGGCCCCCGATTCTTGCAAAAGTCCAACCCCACCAGCGAGTGCAAGTAACCAAACGGGGCTCTGGCACATTTGTAAGTGCAAAGTCGAACTGCTTTTCACATGTGTAGACATGTGGTGCGCTTACAGTAAAAGCAGTCGCTAACTACCCACCATGGTTATCATGGCTTTGAGATAAGAAAGAAGAAGATAAACCCACGAAAATATTCATTGACCTTCAATATATAGAATATCTCTATCGTTGATTTAAAAATATCCTTTATATAACTATTCTAAGCTTTTATTGGCGCTGCACCATTTACTATGGCACAGCTCAAGGTTCTAAAAGAAAACATATTGTCACGTAAAAAAATGTGGTAAGACAAACGTCATAATGACAAAACAATTTATTTTTAGCAAAACAATTCAACTTTATTTACATAAAACAAAAGGAGAGAATTTTCTGAATAATAAAAGAATTAATATTCTGAGGATAAAAATAAGTGAACAAATAATGAATTACAAAACTACTTTCATATGGGAACTGTGAACCACAAATTATAAACTTCTTTTACTACTGACATGGATCTTGATTATTTCAGTCAAGACTTTCCTCAGCGCCTTGAAAGTTTTCTTTTTTTATTATTATCCCAAGTACACGTAGTACAGGCCATGATAATCATGGTGGGTAGAAGTAGGCGACAGCTTTTGCTGTAAGTGCACCACATGTTTACACATGTGAAAAGCAGTTCGACTTTTGTACTTACAAATGTGCCAGAGCCCCGTTTGGTTACTTGCACTCGCTGGTGGGGTTGGACTTTTGCAAGAATCAGAGGCCATTGGAGCATTTCTTTTAATAAGAAAAAAGTGCCCAATGCGGAATTCGATCCCGGGTCGTAGCGGTCGAATTCGAACAGTTTAGACCACCCTTCCTCATACCGCTTTAAAGTGATTCCTAGTATCTTTAATTCCATTTTCTTTCAGTAGGCAAAGAATTTTTGTCGTTGTAACATCAATAGGGACATCGTCTTCTTGGTTAGAAGTTTTGCCATTGACGTCGGTGGAATCCTTGTGTAAGTCGCGGTAACTTCAGCTCATGGCATCCATAGCCCCGAGGTCTGCTCGAAGATCTTCAGTTTGCCTTCCCTTCTATACTCAGCATATCTACCAAAATGTCAAGTATAAAATGAGTAAACACAAACGTATGAATCACAAGGCAATTTATTTTGAGCGCAAAACAATATAAGAATTTATATTATGTAGATAAAATGTGACAATTCTAGGATAATATATATTAGCTTTGAAATAAAGCCTACTAGTTTAGAGAAAGATGGTCTAAACCGTTGGTTTTCGACCGCTACGACCCGGGTTCGATTCCCGCGTTGGGTACTTTTTTTTTTTTATTAAAAAAATGCTCCAATGGCCCCCGATTCTTGCAAAAGTCCAACCCTACCAGCGAGTGCAAGTAACCAAACGGGTCTTTGGCACATTTGTAAGTTCAAAGTCGAACTGCTTTTCACATGTGTAGACATGAGTGCACTTACAGTAAAAACAGTCGCCTACCTCTACCCACCATGATTATCATGGCCTGTACCAGGGATAAGTACTAGGGATAAGTAAAAGAAATGAGAACATGAAGACAAGGTTTGGGTAAAAACCCCAAAAATGTTTATAATATTTCAAAAATGTGCTTTCACGAATTTTGAAAATCCTTTCGATTCTTGGTGTGTGTTTCAAATGTCATCTCCTCATATAAAAGTATTAGCAGAATTCTTCGGCTTCTCATCGAGAGAAGGATTGTTATATTTAAAATAACTTTGCATGGATTTCTAGAAATATAATTGTAAAGAAAATTAATCAAACAAAAAATAGAGCTAAAACCTCATTCCTAAAGTTTTAAATGGACTATATACATAGTATGGCTATATAAATAAAGTTAAGAGAAAATGTCGTAATCATATTCATAGTTCTATATTTTAATTTAATTTTTCTAAATGAAATATTTTAACGAGAAAAGTTTTCCGAAATTAAAAATGATCTGAAACCATTCTCCAAGGTCATTAAGAGTTAAATGGAAATTTTGGTAAGATGAATAATATTGTGACGAGATAATTACTTATGCAGTCGAACTTGAATAAAAGTCCAAGGGACCAAAAAAAAATCGAATTATTCAAAAATTATAATTTAAAATGTTTTAAATAAAAGGCTTAAAAGTTTAGGAATCAAGATAAATATTCAAATTAAATACGTTTTATAAATAAAGACGTTTTCGAATTATCAAAGTTCTACTGTATTTAATTAATTCTCTAAATTATATTTTTTGACAGAGAGAGATTAACATGTGTATCATCATACATTTTGTTCTTCTTCTTCTTTCTTATCTCTACACTGGGTGAAGTAGAATGTCTTTGTCATTAAGACTGGGAACACTACTCAGTGGCAGACCGACTTAGCTCCAAAAGAAATGGCCGCCTCTGACATGAGGAACCGACGCCATGTGCAGCCGCTCCTAACATAGAGTACAAACGCTGCTCATCCTGTATCTCTGGATTAGGAGCCCTTACAGGGTACTATCAGCCGGGCCAGATGAGCCCAGGTACCTTTTGTCCTTCACCTCTTTAATGTGAATATTAAATTAGATGTGTGTGTGCTGGGTAGTTGGCGTTCTGCACTTCTGGAACCCGGGTTATATATACTTAGTCTAGCCATAAATATTGGTATAAAACCAAATCAGTGATAAAAATATTAATTTGAGCGCGTGAGGTATTCAAAATACAGTAGTTGTTATTTGAATATCTCGTGCACACGTGTTTAGAAAAAAAAATCGGAATATATTTGTTTTTCGATAATGGATTGGAGTGTTAAAGAAAATCTATAGCTGTAATAGCCTTACGCAAGGTAGGCCAAAGTCCTTCATCCATTTTTAAACTTTTACAAAATTTGAATATTACGCGTCAATTTGTTTATCGAACCATTGAAAGGTTCAACAAGGCTGGCACTATTAAGGACCTTGAAAGATTTTGTCGACCGCGCGTGCAATGAACGCAAGCAGCTATAAAAGCCATTCGCGAAAGAATTCGTCGAAATCCACGCCGCAAACAAAAGTACTTCGCAAAGCAGATGAATTTAGCTTCAAGAAACCTTTCCAGGATAATCAACGAAGACCTTGGACTCAGAGCTTTCAAACGACGCACAAGTCATTTGATAACCCCTGCTCTTAGAGATATTAGAAGAGTTAGATCAAAAATGTTGTTGGCGCGGCATGATGTCGGTGGCATGATAGAATCCTTTTCACAAACGAGAAAATTTTCACTGTCGAGAAAAAGATTAATCGTCAGAATGATAGGATATAGGCTTGTAGCTCTCTAGAAGCTTCTTTGAAAGTCAGAAGACTTGAAAAAAGTCACCATCCTTCTTCTGTCATGGCTTGGTGGGGAGTTAGCTACCAAGGTGTAACAGATCTCCACTTCTGTGCCAAAGGGGTAAAAACTACAGCTAAAAACTATCAAGAAGATACTTTGGAACAAATAGTAAAGCCTCTGAATAAAGAAAAATGTTTAATGGAGAACATTGGATATTTCAACAAGATTCAGCTCCTGCTCACAAAGCTAAGTCAACTCAACAATGGTTAAAGACGAATGTTCGGAGTTCATAAAGGCCAATGAATGGCCCTCTGGAAGCCCTGATTTAAACCCCCCTTGATTACAGTTTGTGAAAATATTTAGAGGAGAAGGTGTGCTCTAAAAGATATCATAATTTGGATCAATTGAAATCAGCATTTGTGAGAGCAATGAAAGAAATACCCTTAGAAAAGCTGCGTGCCGCCATAGATCAGTGGCCCGGACGTTTGAGATCCTGTGTCAAAAATAAGGGAGGACATTTTGAATGATTGTATATATTTAAAATCTATGTCCTATTGGCTAATAAAATATGTATTTATAATCCATTAGTTTTTGTTCTTAATCGTTTAATTTATAAAATTGTGTGTAACAGAATTTATGGCTAGACTGTGTATATTTTTAAAAAGATGCATACAAGTGCATACTTGTATATTGGATTTATAATAATTTTATTGTTCTAATATTTCTAGGAAAAACTTGCCTCTTATTACCAAGGATATTTGTGTTTTTTACTAAGACATGTAACACAAACATTCTCGATAAAGAGAGGCGAGTTTCCGCTCGAAATATTGGAACAATAAAATAATTATAAATCCAATATATGCATCTTTTTAAATATAATTATGGGTTTCTCAATCTTCAAAATATCTCAATGAGTTGAATTATAGTCGCCTAGTCGTGCTGACGTAATAAATAATCTTTTGCTTTATCATTGATCAATCTACATTTTAAAGTCATCCATTACAACGCTACAATATGTAATGCACCATCTCTACAATCCTTACAGCACACGGCTTTGTTGAAGTAGACGCTGCAAAAGTGTCAAACGTCACCTGTCCACTTTGCTTGCCAATCTGGAGGAACAAACTGCTGACCATCTTCTCTTCAGCTGACCCCCTACCACCTACAAACAGCCACCCTCCTAGGAATAATCGTGTCCCCTGAAGATCTGTAAAACTTTCCCAAGTACAAATCACCCTGGCGACATCTAATCAACTGATGTCCAGCATTAGACGTGAATTCTGAAGACAAACCCAGATAGTTTGCGACTTTTATACGTGGCTCCGGGAGTTCGAGTTACATCAAAAGAGAGAGAGAGAGAGCTAAAAATATTATTTTATCATCATCAATTTCTAAATAAAATACGCCCTTTCTATCCGTTTATTGGCTTATTTCTATATTCTGGGGCTGAAACTACGATATCAACATCTGCCAGACATAACTATATAACCCTGGAACATTTCATTGAGATTGGTCAACTATTATGGATTTTTAACAAGATTAAAACGAAATATATATCCCAGCCTGAGCCTTTCATATCGAATTCTTTATTAACTTGGTAAATGGAAGCTTTTACACATTTTTAAAACATAAATTTCTTATAAATTTGTAAATATTCTCGCCCGTTCACTTCTCTGGTTTATAAATATTGTAGCGTAGAATCAAGCCTTGAAATATCCTAAGATGTAAAAGTATTTATTGATGACGTCACAGCGACGAGTCGACAATTATTAACAGGTCAGCCCCTAAAAACTATTTACAGCTAGAGAATCTTAAGCAAGCAAGCAAAGAAATATTTTAAAGATGATTTCACAAATACAGATTAATATATATTTTTATAATCTGTAGAATATATTTTCATTGAATAATATTAAATTAAATAATAAAATATTTCTTTGTCACATAGCCTCCTCCTATAGAGAGCATCGACCCGATGCTCAGCAGGAGACTTACGTCGTCAGTCTTAAGAACTAGTACTATGGCCAGGGATATTTTCAGGTGACTGCGGTGGATGTCTTCTTTCAGTTGAGATATCTTCTTCATGAGGGCTTGGTAGGTCTATGTTTACGTCAATGTAGTTTTTTATTTCCACTGTGGTCGGCAAGGGAGGATTTTATAAATTTGCGGCCTTACCTCCCATATGGTCTATCATCTAGTTTTAATGGCGGGGCGTCCAGCTAGATCTTCTAGCAGGTGAGAAATGTTGTCTGTTTCGAACGGGATATGAGGTAGGGCTTCGGTAGCGAGTGAAATTTTTCCTCGATGATTCGTCATTGGGGTCCTGAGATTCGGATCGAAAGTTGTAGAATACCATTGCGTCTTGCTTTCTTTGGAAATATTCTTTTCTCCTTTCCTCATTGTGTCTCTTCCTGTCACGGCAATAGCGGACGGCGTGACCTGGGCGTCCGCAGTAGAAACAGATTGGCCTTCCCTCAGTTGTCCGCCATTCATTGGTGTCGCGTCTTCTTTCTTGTTTCTGATATTGAGATGTAGGATGGGGATTTCTAGGTTGAGCTTCAAATTTAGGATTTGATACCGGTCTGGGTGCTTGAGGGGGACTTATTGTAGGTTCTGATATAGGCGCCAAGGTCTTTACGATCTCTTCCCTTACTAAATCTTCATTGGCGGCAATTTTAGGCTCCTCTTGAGGAGAGTCCAATGCTTGCTGTATCTCTTCGCGGACAATTTTTCGGATCAGCGATGACAGATCTTCTCCGTCATCCTGGTCACAGAGAGAGGCTACATTTGGTAGGCGCTCGTACCTGGTTGGGGTAACTCGCTTACAACGGAGCGCTTCGACACGGCGACATTCTGTAATGAATTGCTCGGTGCTCTGTACATCCCTCGGTAGGAGTGCTTGATAAAGCTCCTCAGCTATCCCCTTCATGAGGTGGGAGATTTTATCTTCTACGCTCATTTGAGGATCAACCTCTTTGCACAAGCACAGGACATCCTGGATGTAAAATTCGGTACTTTCACCTTTTAATT